TCAGAGTTTTAATTTGCATATACAGGGAGTGCAGAATTATTAGGCAAATGAGTATTTTGTCCACATCATCCTCTTCATGCATGTTGTCTTACTCCAAGCTGTATAGGCTCGAAAGCCTACTACCTATTAAGCATATTAGGTGATGTGCATCTTTGTAATGAGAAGGGGTGTGGTCTAATGACATCAACACCCTATATCAGGTGTGCATAATTATTAGGCAACTTCCTTTCCTTTGGCAAAATGGATCAAAAGAAGGACTTGACAGGCTCAGAAAAGTCAAAAATAGTGAGATATCTTGCAGAGGGATGCAGCAGTCTCAAATTTGCAAAGCTTCTGAAGCGTGATCATCGAACAATCAAACGTTTCATTCAAAATAGTCAACAGGGTCGCAAGAAGCGTGTGGAAAAACTAAGGCGCAAAATAACTGCCCATGAACTGAGAAAAGTCAAGTGTGCAGCTGCCAAGATGCCACTTGCCACCAGTTTGGCCATATTTCAGAGCTGCAACATCACTGGAGTGCCCAAAAGCACAAGGTGTGCAATACTCAGAGACATGGCCAAGGTAAGAAAGCCTGAAAGACGACCACCACTGAACAAGACACACAAGCTGAAACGTCAAGACTGGGCCAAGAAATATCTCAAGACTGGTTTTTCTAAGGTTTTATGGACTGATGAAATGAGAGTGAGTCTTGATGGGCCAGATGGATGGGCCCGTGGCTGGATTGGTAAAGGGCAGAGAGCTCCAGTCCGACTCAGACGCCAGCAAGGTGGAGGTGGAGTACTGGTTTGGGCTGGTATCATCAAAGATGAGCTTGTGGGGCCTTTTCAGGTTGAGGATGGAGTCAAGCTCAACTCCCAGTCCTACTGCCAGTTTCTGGAAGACACCTTCTTCAAGCAGTGGTACAGGAAGAAGTCTGCATCCTTCAAGAAAAACATGATTTTCATGCAGGACAATGCTCCATCACACGCGTCCAAGTACTCCACAGCGTGGCTGGCAAGAAAGGGTATAAAAGAAGAAAAACTAATGACATGGCCACCTTGTTCACCTGATCTGAACCCCATTGAGAACCTGTGGTCCATCATCAAATGTGAGATTTACAAGGAGGGAAAACAGTACACCTCTCTGAACAGTGTCTGGGAGGCTGTGGTTGCTGCTGCACGCAATGTTGATGGTGAACAGATCAAAACACTGACAGAATCCATGGATGGCAGGCTTTTGAGTGTCCTTGCAAAGAAAGGTGGCTATATTGGTCGCTGATTTGTTTTTGTTTTGTTTTTGAATGTCAGAAATGTATATTTGTGAATGTGGAGATGTTATATTGGTTTCACTGGTAAAAATAAATAATTGAAATGGGTATATATTTGTTTTTTGTTGAGTTGCCTAATAATTATGCACAGTAATAGTCACCTGCACACACAGATATCCCCCTAAAATAGCTAAAACTAAAAACAAACTAAAAACTACTTCCAAAAACATTCAGCTTTGATATTAATGAGTTTTTTGGGTTCATTGAGAACACGGTTGTTGTTCAATAATAAAATTATTCCTCAAAAATACAACTTGCCTAATAATTCTGCACTCCCTGTATGTTATGTTAACTCTAAAACTCATGCAGTTCAGTGCTACTGAACCACACCTCACCAGACTTAATCAGCCTCTTGTATCTCAGATGCCCTGCTATGAAGTTGCTGCCCTTCATTCTGCCTCTGAATACAGTAATATGTTTGTTGTTACAACGAACCGATAAAGGTTGCGGTCCAGAGAGAGCTGTCCGCTTTTCAACTGGACCAAATTGATTGTGTAACACACACTTTTTCAACAGCTAAACGAAGGGTCATTAGTTTTGACCGACAGCTGTGGAGAGGTTGCACTTTGGTGTGTTTACAAAACTCTTCATTACACTGTTGTGTTTAAAATATCATCCTGGGTCACTGGTGATACATGGGGTGGAACATGGGGTGGCAAATTCCACTTGGATTGAATTTCGTGCTTTGTTTATCTTGGTGTTTCTGATGAGGTTCAGTCTCTGAGCTGGGAGATGTTGGGTACAGTCGGGGACTGAACACTGGACCTGGACAAGATCCAGCAGTCCTTTTAAAGTAGTGGACATACTGGCTAAGCTGCAGCTAAATCCCCAGCTCTGAGAATGGGATCCTTTGTGAAATAGCAGGCAGTGAGGCTGAGATTCACTCAGAGAAAAGAGAGCCCAGGGCTTCAGAGAACTAAGCTGCTATCTGATCAGTTCCACACTTTCTTCAGGTCTGCTTTGCTCCTGCCCGTCCTGGATGGACAGTGAGGCTGTTTTAACATTGTTTTCATGCCTGAGCGTCTTTAAAAGTCAACTCCCACATTTTGAACTGTGTCTTGTTTTGCGTCCAGTGGGCTTAGAGTCAAAACCCCCTGACCCTCCCAAGTCCCTGAACACATTACTCTATTGTCTCAATATGTTATGTAACTATGTAACCACCTCATGCTTTGTTCAGTTCTATCAGTTTTTGTTTTACAGAAGAAAAAGAGGCACTTAAGAAAACTAAAGTGAGACAGTGTGCATATCAACCAGTACAGCTGTCTAAAGTGTGTCACTCAAGGAACATCATACAGGAAAATGACACCTTAGGTTTCAGGACATAAAACACTATGCCCTTTCAATCATTCAATAAGGAGAGCGACAGAAATCAAATAAGTGCTCACCCGAGATTTCCACCACGCCATCTTTTGTCTTCACCATCAAGTCCTCAGGTGAGAAGTGGTTCACATCCAGCGATACCTTCCAGCTGTCTTGGGTCTGCTTGATCTCGGAAATGCCGCTGCTCAGCTGGCGGGACAGGGCCCGAGCCTGAGCCTGCTGAGCCATCATGTGGGTTGGATACATCAAGGGAGCATGCGGTGTCATTAGTTCTGGAGCCAGGATGGATGGCCTCAGGTACCCTGGCCAGTGGGTGCTGGGAAATGCTGCGATGTCCTCGGGCAGGGCGGGCATACCGAAGGTCTGGTCAAAGATACGGCTGCTCTGGTGCCAGTCACGAAATGGGTCCCAGCTCGGAGTGCGGAGCAAGGTGAAAGGAATACGTCTCTCAGCCATGATGATCTGGGAATTTCTTCTAAGCTTCAGAGGAGTGTTGCTGTGTGCAGATCAAGAGCCCCTTGGCCTCTCTGGAAGTGTTTTCTTAATGTGCTGTCTGCCTCTCAGCTGAGAGCTTTTATACACAATGACACCACCCCTTATCAACAGAACCCTCCCTTCAGACTCAAGCCCCATACCTCATGCCTCCAGAATGTTTTACGAAAGCACTAGAATATCTATTTATAGCGGAAGTAGCACTGGAATGGAATCCAACAGGAAGACCCTCCCATGTAACAGTTGCCCTAGGCACTGAGTGCTGTGTGTAAACCCCCTTCTCCTCTCCCTGTGCATCTCAAAGAGCCAGAAGAATCTGGGAGGCTTCTGTCCGTCTACTTACAAGCTAACATGCTATTCTTAACAACGCTATGTTGCGCTATGAACCCATTCAGCCCTGAATGAAATACATAGTAGAATATCAGTTTGGTACATGAAGCCAAATGACTTGACTGGATTAAAACTGGAGGAAAATCCACCATGTTCACACCTGCCTATTCATATTTCTTTGTCACAAAGGGGGAATTAACAAGCTGTAGTGTCTCAAGTCTTCTGTTAACCTGACAGTCTTTCATTGTTTACTGGATGTTAGTGCCGCGTGATACTGCAATTTTGGTATCAATCCAAAACCAAGTAAATACACGGCCAGTATTACTAATACTAGTACACATATTTTTAAACTATGAAGGCAGTTTATCTAGGGGGGAGTAGTATGTCATGATTTATGACATTAATCGCCAGTTTCCAAATTCTGAATACATTTTAATGACCACTAAATCATCATGACTTTTACTTTCCACATGAAGTAGTTGAAAGAATCCACAATGACCAGGTACTGTTTAGTCTCTATCTGGAACAGATCATTTCCAACCATGGCCCACGGTCTTTGTGGGAACTCTTTAGGTAGCATGGTTTCTTTGTGTTTAGTCCGCTCGCGGCAGCAAGTGTCACAGGTCCTGATCACTTTTATTAGCTCACTGCTCAGGCCTGCTCACTGCTCAGAGAGAGCTCTCTAAACAGCGGGTGACTTGAAACTGACTCATGACGTCACGTCTCTTTTCACGCAGCTCCTCTATGGCTGACCTTTAGCCTGGCACCGATGCCGAAACCTTGAAAAATGAGTGTCCTTTATTATTTTTCACCCCCCCACACACACGCACACACAACAACCCAGCAGAAACGTTCCTACCTCTTAACATTTACCTGATACTAGAACATTAAAATCAGCTAATTTAGCTGAGTTGGTCTTACTGGTCGTGGTCTGGTCCATGCTGCTCATTGTCACAGTTTACTGGCAGTCTTGATGGAAGTGTGCCACTGTTAATTTAATAACTATCGACCAGTGGACTTTGCTGCTGTGACACTTAAAGTGTCTGCTGTGAAAGGTGTCCTATTGAGCTGTACACTTCTGACACAAAGTGAGCAGGTGTCACAGGGACATGCCTCTATCTCTCACAGTGTTACACAGACAGAGAAGAAGAAAAAAACTAACATAAACTGACAGTTCAGCTACAACAGTGATAGTAACTGAGAAATCTCGAGGAAGTGTTCAGACGGAAATGGAGGTTATGTTAATTTATTTGATATATATGGCAAAGTAAGTATTTCTGGAAAATATAGCTCAGGTCTCAGTGTAAGAAATCTAATCCCTCAAAGTTACAGCACAGGATGTGAGATCTGCCTCTAAAATAAGCCATATCTTCCTCTCAGCCCCAGTTGGAGAACATTCTAGCCTACTTAATAGAGAGAGGCTTCATGTTTTTGGTCAAGGTTCTCATCAGTGCCATCTGTAGGAAGATACATACACAGCACCAACAAGTTATCGCTGACTGCACCTGAAGGCAGAGAGAAGAACTCAAAAACTGGATCATTTCCCCATTTGTTTCTGTTTATTGTCAGGTATAATAACTTGTACAATACAAAGAATGATTTGTAGAATCAAAGGGGCAATGTTATACTTGGAATAAATGGTCAGGCTGCAGAGCATCACAGCTGGGATAAGTGTGGTTACACTGGAAATGCATGTCATGAGACCAGGTGAATGGTAAGGAAGACTTAGGCTGATCCCTGATTGTATCACCTGTTTGTTAACCACCCTCATGGAGGTGCAGACACAGCCTGCTGCCGTGCCTGCCAAGCCATCGCTCATTATCTTTTGTAGCCAGCAACTGGGGAGACCTCTGCTAGAATTGTATGGCCAATTATACAAGGGACTGAAATATGGAGTGACTGGAAATGTACAGTAGAGCAGAGTAATTGATTCTTCAGGCTGCTTCAGGCCGAGTCATCTTCCTCCCTCGGCACAGACAGAGCCACAGCAGCCCCGCGTTACCATGAGTCATTATATCGGCTGGGGACGCGATAATGGCAGTCATGGGAGTAACTGTGGGTGAATGCTCAGTTCAACCGACTCAAAAATCAGAGCTCCTTAAACACATAGCAGTGAATCTGTGCACTGCTTGTTGATCTGATAACAAGAAACCGATTCTGTATCATAACTTGGAGCTTTACAGTACTTTTCTCACATCTGCAGCAAACCCATCTCCAAACCATGATCCAACTGCTTCACAGCAAAATGATAAATATATTAAACAATAAATAACCTAATAAATAAATGAATAAATACAGCGAGTTTCATAAATAGCTGAGATCAACTCACAAATGTGCATGGAGACTTTTTGCAGTACGGTACCATACAGCAGCTCATGTAAATCATTACCTCATTGATCTTTGCAAAGGAGGTTCAAACTCACACACACATACACACACTCACACAGTCTCGCACATGATTAGCATAACAAACGTAATTACTTAAACAGGGAAGAGAGTAAAAGTATGTAACACATACAGCCCCCCCCCCCGTTTCATTCACCTCTGTTTGCAAAGGTCAGGGGGAAGGGGCAGGGCAGATTCACCCTGCTGGCACATCTCATTTCCATCAGGTCCCCTGATGCATCATGCTGAACATACCTATTCAAACTATATGGAATATACAGTGCATAGTTTACAAAGCCAAACTTAAGAGAGTTTACATCTGTACAGACAAATCTATGCAATACAGTTTTCTCCTAAAAAAACAAAAAAAAAGTTATTTTTATTTCTTTTCCTGATTCATCCTCTGACTTCTCTTTTGTTCTCTTTTTGTTGATCTGTGTGAACCGGAAGTCTTTGGGGCTGATGAGAGAAAAAGTGATTCTTTGAAATGTACAGTAAGCTGTGTGATTTCGATGTGTCTGCCTTCTTTTCGTCTTCTACTCAGCCCCTCTTTTCAGGATATATTTGATATATATCTATATATATATATATATACTTATAACTGTTGTTAACTGTTATTGAATGTATTTTTGGTAGCTGTGTGGAAGATGAGAAGGAAAGTGCTAACATACATTTGTTCTTTGGGCTCAGCCAATTCATTTTAGACATGTAAAAAAGAAAAAACCTTTCCTTGAATGTGTGAGAAGACATGAACAGTGACTGCCAATATCATGGTATTGTGCTATATCAAAATACATTTTCCTCTCTTTGATCCAGGCTCTGTGTTAGAGATAGAATGGTCCATGGTGAAGGAGTTTGGATCCCGGTCTGTACAGCTGTGCGGCTTCTGCTGAGGACTTGCTAAGGATACGTAATGAATCTACCGGAGTGCAGCAGGTTTAACAGCACTTCTCCTTCTTTTGTTCCCTTTTTTTTTCTTTCCTTTTTTCTCCTTTTTTCATTCTCGTTCTGCTGGTTGCCATCAGAACCCCGGGCTGTCATAGCTGCTGCGGCTGTAATAACTGTGGTGGCTGCGGGAGCGGCTCCTGCTGCGACTCCAGCTCCGGCTTTGGCTGCGACTCCAGCTGTGGCTGCGGCTCCAGCTCTGGCTCCGGCTCCTGCTGTGGCTCCTGCTGTGACTTCTGCTGCGGCTGTAGCTGCTGTAGCTGCGGCTGGATCGTGACGGGCTGCTGTCGTAGCTGGAAGATGAAGGACTGGGCCGGTAATATGGGATCGGCCGCTTCCGAGCACTGGAGGAGGAAGAAAAATAAGGGTTTGAACAGTTAGTCCTATGTCCTAGTCCTATTTCCTATGGTTAGAGTGTTAAATCTGATGTTAAAGCATGATTAAGGCAATCAGTGTTAGGTCTCAGAGTGGTGACGTGTAATTAGTACAGGATCTGAAAGAGAGCAGCTATGTGGGTTAAAAAGAAGCTTCTCAGCCACACACACACACACACACACACACACACACACACACACACACACACACACACACACACACACACACACACACACACAAACATAGCAGAAAAATGCAAGTGTTTAGTTGAAGTTCAAGCTTAGATTGCCTTGTTAATAGCCACCCTGGAAGTACTTCCTGTAAAGTAATTAGCCGTTAGTTCCTTAAAGAACCTCATCTTCTCAGTGGAGGGCAACACCCAGAAAATAAAAATCAAGAGTCAGTGGTGCAGGGAGAGATAAACGCTATCAAGGTATCCCTGCTGCTATGAGGTGCATTTCACAAGCAGCGCTGTAGATAACTCAACCCCAGCTTTTGTCTTCTACATTGGCTGTGGGAATCAACAGTATGAGCAATAAGGTGTGTGGGGGAAAGAGGGGGGGCTTCCACTCTAATAAACCTTGATAGCGCTTTAATCTTTGCATCCTTTGTGTTACAACATTAGTGCAGAAACACAGCAGGGTGCAGCTCTAGAGTTGGAGTGAGTTTCAGGAAAGAGATGAAGAAGCGGAAAAAGGACAGAGGAGGAAGCCTGGTTTACTCATGGGAGCTCTGATGATTTGCTGCTCAGCCAAACTTCAGAAGTCACGGTATTGGGGTCCTGCTGCACGGCAACTGTTACCGGGGTAACTAGCCGGCAGCAGTCGGGTTCAGCAGCAGCCCGTTGTCCTGGTGTCGGGACCTTTAAGGACTGAAGTGAAAGATAACAAAGTACACACATTTCACCCATGGCTATTTACACTCGAACGAGAAGGTTGCAGAGGTAACACAGGGAGAGGCTGAAACACATTTCATCTGCAGGGGGGATTTTCTTCTTCTTCCGTTTGTCTGAATAATTAACTCCACCTAAAAGCATTTCTATTGGTAACAATGAAACGATCATATGAGAATAAATTATGAAATCTAAGAAGTAAGCAGGAAACAAATATGTGGATGAGTCTAATACATGGTTTTAAAGAGACTCATCAAAATGGAATAGAACAACTGGAACAACTAACTTAACCAATGAAATCTTTTGCTCAGTTCAGTTAATTTTCATTTTACATCCTCATTCTTACGTCTTATTTTATATCTCGTATTGAAGCACTTTAGTCACAAATCACTCAATATTAAAAAAAATAAGGGCAATAACTGAAACCATTTATCAATTTAAGTGACTAGCTCAGATCCTCAGATCTCATATTTACATACTTTCTGAGATGTACACTTCTATCCGTGTAATGGTATCCGTGTACCTGGGCTTCAAATAATGTGTACAGCACTTTTCATTTGTTTTCATGAACTAGACATTAACATTACTAGGCTTGATACATAAAGACTCAAACTGATATTTGGATGTTGGCAAGTCAAACCAAGGTGGAATTTACTATAAAGCAAAACAGGCAATTTCACTTGCATTTCTGCTTTTGTGTACTCACAGTTTTAGTTGTAAGTCTACACAGAGCTGTATGTATCTGGTCCCAGGTACCACCATAAGGCACATTTTTTGCAGTTTCAGTTTAATCTTTCTACTGAAATGACTCAGAAACACCATATGATTTGTAGTTTTTGTTGGTAGCATGTTTGCTTTTAATTCATACAGTATTTCAATTCTCTAGTGCTATAGTTAGGCAATAATAAAAACTTGTTTAGTGAGGGACATTGCAGTAAATGAAAGTACAAAACTATTACACATGGTGTGTCATCTCTAAAGGAAATGAAACATGATGGCAGAGTAAAAACCCAAACATAAAGGACAGTGATCACTTTATGTCCCTCATGATGCCCATAGAAAGTCTGAAATAGATGTTTAAAAGCAGGAGGTAACATTTTCTGTCTACCAGAGCTCCACCCTTATAATGACTGCATCCATTTATGCCTGTGGTTTTTCATTTTTATTCCACATAAAGGATTTAATGGCTCTTAATGGGTTTCTTAAAAATTACCAGTCGTGAGTTGAAACAGAAGCAAAATCCCTTCTCTTTATTTCTTTTGCCTGCCTTTGTTGTAATTTGAAGCTATGAAAGAATGACTTTTACCCCAGCATGAGTACCGTCCTGCCAAATCATGGGACATGCTTTAAGTGTAACGCATTAAAGTGTCTCATATTTAAGAGCCACTCAGGCCTGTGAGAAAGAACAAGATACATGGCTGTGTTATTCTGGGGCTCGGTCCTTGCAGGGAAGAGCAGAAACACACACACACACAATGTGGAGGAGAAGTGTGTTTAATCATGTGGTGTTACCTGGTGATCCTGCGAGCCTCCATGAAGCTGGGTGAATCTCTTCTTCTTTTGCGGATAGGTGAGTAGCTGCGTGAACGGCGGCGAGCTCGGCTGTCGGTGTCAGAGCGGTTGGCACTCTCCCTGTCCCTGTGTGACACACAAATCAGTCACACCATCGACCAATGGGAGCATATTATAAATCTACTATACATCAGACAGCGGCTCACCTGGAGGCGTTTTGCCTATTGTGCGGGGACTTGGCCTTGCTGGGTCCTCTGTCTTTGGAAGCAGAAGGCGAGGATGAACGCCCGCTGCTCCAGGAGCTGCTGCGCTGTCGGAGGTTTGCCTTGCTCCCGACTTTGTTGGCTGACGTGTGCCCTGGAGACGCTGATGTGCTCCGGTGGCGTGCCTGACCCCGACTGGATTGGTGGTGTCTCTTGGAAGAGTGGCCACCTTTGCCCCTGGGGGAATGGGAAGTATAATCCAGCAGATGTCAAACAGTTCTCTCTCATTTGCAAAGCCAAAGCAGTGAGGTCCAGCAGTGATAAGAGCCTGAAAGTGCACAACTGCAATGGAAGGCTTACTTTCTGTGGTGACGAGAGCTCCTCCCTCTGTAAGTATGGTTGTGCTGGGAGTGGGTCGAATCACTGCTGTGAGCAGGGGAGTGGGAGCTCTTATTCTGACCTCTCTGGCCTCCTCTCCTCCCTGACGCCTTGCTCAGAGAGCTCCCTATAGCTGTGCCCCTGCCATCGACACTCCCAGTATCTTCTGCAACACACATCTTTCCCATCTGGTTCCTGATAGGGGCGCTGTGGATCTTGTGCTCTCTCAGCAGAGATGACTGGACGCTTGCAGAGCTGGCAGTCAGCATGTGGAACTTCTGTAGAGAAATGATGACCAACAAAAGGGAAAAAAAAGAAAAGAAAAAAGAAAAAAAAAAGGATAAAAATAGCATCAGAGAGTTTTCAAGTTGGTAATTGAGAGCTATGGTGTACTTGCCAAAAGAAGGTAAACATCTAAAAGAAAAAGATCTAGGTTTTCTCCATATGGCTTATAGATAGTCCTCTATGGTGCAGCGCATGCAATACTTGGCATGCAAAACCATAATGAGTTGAAGAAATAATAATCGCAAAAACAAACAAAAATCTAGGAAAAGGGGGAAGAGAGGGTAGAAAAAAGAAACAAAACAAAACTGTGAACCAAATAATTTTAAGAGCAGAGGCAGAAATTAGAGAGATACAGATTTTGTAGAGTAGAAACAGAGGACTTCTTCAGTTTTTTCAGTAATGGTTAAAAAAAGAAACGAAACAGAAAGAGAAGACAACTTGACGGAACATCACAGAAATGGAAGGAACAAAATAAAGATCACAATTATTGTATCAATCGAATCAGAAAACAAATCTTCTGCTACTCAATTTTCTCTTTCTGGATTTTTTTTCCTGAAGACAATTGCTGAGATGTGAACAGCGACCCATTTTCTTTGTTTTTTTTAATGGTTACTCCCTTTAACTCCCTTCTGGTTAACATCCACTTACCAATAAAGTGGTATTCCCTCCTTTAGTAGGTAAGGTATGAAGAAAAGGGAAAAGTGGGGCAACATAAGTGCATCATTAGATTCACAAAATGCAAGAGAAAAAGACACAAAACCCTTCCCTGCCAGTGACTCATGAGACAATGCATGGAAATCAATAGAAAAGAACTGAAAAGCAAAGAGGAAAACCACAATGTGCAGGGAGTCCCTCACACAGAGAGTTAAATCCTCTGGGTCCAGTCACCTTCCTAAACATCACAGAGCAATGGGTCGGTGAGAGTTAAAGATACTTCCTTTACCTTTTTGCTCTTAGTGTGCTTTATATAATGAGACAGCCTGACATGTTTGCTAGTTAACTATCTCAGTGTTCGTGCTTGTGGACTCTTTAATGTCTTTCATACAGGACACTTACAGTTCTCACACTAGCAGAATTTTGCTATTACATGGAGTTCCAGGGAGTTGTTGCTACATTAGAGAGTGCTGTATTAATAGGCTTAAAAAACTAGACATTTTACCCAAATCAGTGATTTTTTTAGAGTCAGGAATGACCTTGAAGCTAACAAAAATTGGCAAAGCTTTAAAGGGTATAAAGCAGACAATATCATACACTTTTGTAAATCCCACAAAAAGACCAAAACAATTTTTGGTTGGGTTTTTCTGCTCATAGTTGCTTTGCATCTGCAAGCCACTTTGGGAATCAGAACAATGACATGCTGCCAAAAATAAATGAGTGTATAAGGAAATAACACCTGACTTTAGTGGTCCGGAATAAACTGCACTTAATTTATTTTAGCAGGGCAGCCAGTTCAATTGCTTCACTGGGCAATCTCTTATTTCATTGGCACCAAATGTGTGTTAACGCACGGTTAAAAATAGTTCCCATGTCATGCAACATTTACTCTGGAAATTATAATGGCCAGAAAGAATATTAGGAGAGCACTGTCCCCTACGCAGAGCCACTAGCATGGCAATAGCAGCTTCATTTACCACTTTGCTCGAGACAGAAAAATGTAAACTCTGAATTAGATATTTCCAGTTCCCAGATTCTCTGGCACACTATCAACCACCACCAACTAGTTTCAGTGTATTGTCATTAGCTAGATTGTCATGGAATTTGGTTGATAACTTGATGACAGCGATAAAGCCTAAATAAATTAAAATGCAATCCAATACTTCAGTGTACAACATTCCCGTCAGCCTCAGCTGTACTTTGTGTTAAATCAGCAAACTAAGAGCTAAGTACTAAACATCAGCATCATTACTGTGAACATGTCTTCACTTCACTTTTGTGTCTAGCTTCAATGGCTTCTCTTCCCTTAACCTGGTTCTGTCAGGGGTCTCTTACTGTTAAAAGGGAGTTTTTCTTCCCTACAGTTACCAAGTGCTGCCCACAGGCATCTGATTGTTGGGGATTTCTTTTACCTTACAACATAAAGGACCTTAAGACAATTCTAACTGTTAACTAGCACCATATAAATTAAACTGATTTTTGTTGTAAAGTCTTACCAAATGAAACTGTTTGTAGAAATTGAACTATTGGGCCCCATTCATAAATTATTGCACCTTCGGTAAGAATGTATAACAGACTGGGTACAGGAATTGTATTGACAGACAGCCTGTGTTGTTTGCTTTGGTCTTTTCAGGGGATTTCATGATAAAATAAAAACTAGAGTGCTGTCATCCTTAAACAGTATGTAGAGAGAACCTCTATTTTAAGCATAGGACAAAAAAAAAATAGAATTAGCATTACAGTGGGAGTTTAGGGACTAAAATTTGTGATGCACAGTAATGCACTGCTCACTGTAAGCAGGCCAGAAGGTTAATCTCCAAAAGGCGCTTTGTCTGAAAGCAAATACAGCTGGGTCTTCCGCATGCATTATCCTGTTCTGTCTGAGCTGCTATCTGAAGATACAACAAAAGCACCGTTCTCCACTAGAGAGGAGACAACTAAGCGTAATAATAGGAAAACACAACCACTTGTGCTTAAGACAGTTATTGGAAACAGTCGAGGAAATCAATATGGTGAAAATCAAAAGACGAATGTACTAATTCACCGACAAACAGAGAGATGCTGGACAAACAGGAATGCATTCTACCAGAACAGAGAGAAAAGAAAAATAAATGGACAGAAATGGACCTGGAAGATAAAGCTGGATACTGGACTTCAGGATGAAATTAAGCAGGAAAGAGAAAAACCAGAGCGCTACGTAATCCAATCTTTTAAGAGTCAAATCATAATTGATGAAGTCAAATTAATTTGGTTAAAGACCATTGGTAAACAACAGAAAGAGAGAGAGAGAAAGAGAGAGATTGAGAGAGAAACATTGACGTCACTCAGGCTAGGGTGCTTGTCACATTCTCATCTGCATAAAGATCACGTGCGTAGGCAAAGCATTACCTACCTTCCATTTCAATCAGTGACACGTATGCAATATCAACAAAAAACAGGAAAGAAAGAAAAAAAGGAAAAAAAGAGGAGAAAGGAATGTTCTCCGCAGCGAAAATGGGAAAAAGACAATGACCTCTTTTAGTATCAGCGCTACATATTTAGTCCAGAGACTGAGAATAAATTAAACCAAACAAAAAAAAGAAAAGAAAGAAAAATAGAGGGGGGAAAGTAAAAATCAAAATCAGATGGAATTCAAAATCAAATTCAAAACAAAGGATGAATCTATAAACTACATGATTTGCTCTGTCTTTTTCGCTTGTACAAATGCAGCCATATTTGTATCAAAACAGGGGAGGGAGGACAGAGAGGGACAGAGTTAATGTTAGTGGACATCCATGTAGAGTAGAATTGCTAAATGGAGACAGAGGAGGAGGAGAAGCAGGAGGAGGAATAGGAAGGGGGGTCATGCAGAGCTGGCGGGAAGAAAAATGGCAGGACAACGAGAGTGAGATGTGAGTCACAGAGGACACAGATGATCGGGTAGGAAAGAGGAGGAGGGGTTTAAAAAGAGTGCTGGAGGGGAGCAGTCAATGCTAAGATTGACAAACTAAAGAGTCAGCACATCTGAAAGGGACCCCAGTCACATTTTGGCCTGGGTCTTCTCCAGCAGCAGCAGCAACAGTAGGAACAGCACTGGTCTACTCTGTACTTTATTTTTGGACGTCAGCCCAGCTTTCTTCCAGGCATTCCTTTGTGTTTATCACCATAAACACAGGTACAACAAGAGGGCGCCTTAAGGAGCTTTTCTGAGCTTCTGTTTAAACTGTTAGTGTGTACAGAGAGCTTTCAATCAAAATGGCTTGAGTCCCTTTAAAAAAAAATCATGTTAATTAAGGTGTAAGTTGTCCGAACTATTTTCAAAAGTCCATGTAATCGTGTTTAAAGATATCCATTAATAATGCGCAGGAAGAAATTAGCCCTTTTGGGATCGTTTCATCCACTGTGGAGGAGGCAGAAATGGATGCTTCCCATAGAAAAGCCTAGGGATGCTGCAGGATGGATCAGTTAGTAGAAGCCTTACCTCTGGAAAAAAAACAGTATAGTTAGATAAATTATAAATAGTTTGTCTTTATTGTCATTTGTTGTTGTTTGATTAAATCTGATGAGCCTAGCTCAGATTGGCTCATTACCCCCCCCCCCCCCCCCCCCCCCCGTGGCATGATAGAATTAAAGAAAGTTGCCTTTGTTGCTTTCTTTTTTCTTTATCTCCAACTTCTGCAGACTAGACTGCAAGCTGTATTAGTGTATTGCTCTCTTTTGGCATTTTGTATTTAGATTTTGTCATTTTTGAGATATGATGCTATAAACGGACCTTGAGGAGACCCACACATTGCACAGTTTTAGGGAACACATTGTGTTAATCCAATTTATCCAAACAAAATGGTGAGATCCTCACAAGTGGTTTTCAAAGGGCAGTTAGGTAAAAATCTGTTTTGCAGTTAAACTTGTAATAAATAATTATTCTATTAGCAAATAAATAAATACAGATAAACTGCTTATTTGTATTGTGTCTTCTTCCTGTTGTAGCTGGTTGCAGCAGATGGCCCGCCCCTCCCTGAGTCTGGTTCTGATGAAGGTTTCTTCCTGTTAAAACAGAGTTTTTCCTTCCCATAGTCGCCAAGTGCTTGCTCATAGTCGGTCATGCTCTGTATTATTGTAGGATCTTTACCTTACAATATAAAACACCTTGAGGTGACCGTTTCTGTGATTTGGTACTATATAAATAAAATATCTGGAATTGAGCTAAAATTAAATAGAGTTGATTTGAATTTCCATTCCCACAAACAGTTAGGAAATGCTCATCTTGAAGAACATTTAAATCAAAAAATAGCCACTGTTGTAGTGGGTGTTTTTCTCCAGTGGCAACAAGGAGCAGTAAAGAGCAAATAAAAGTAAAATTTACCTTGAATTAGAATGATTTTCAAACTGCATGCTGTGTTTTTCCAGAGAGAAGGCTTTGGACAGATGGACTGACTGGTTAGTTTGGCCCAACAGCAGCTTAACAGCACACAGCTGTTACTCTGAGCGTTCCTCTGGGACATCTGAGGGACTCCCTCCCACACAGTGAATAAGACTGCTTCAAACAGAGCTACAGGATGGCTACAGGAACACAAACTGAGATGATAGATAGTAAAACCAGAGCTGCTATGCAGAACATTTGCTTAGTCACACAATTGCTGCAGTAAAATCAGACTTCAGTTAGATCCAGGATCTGTCACTCATAACCATCCTCCCGTGCAATGTTCCACTTTGATAATTTTTAAATATTTGAGCTTTTGGTGGAGATTAAAAAGAGTGGTAGTTTATGTGCCACAGAGATGCTGCTTTAGAAAATGTGAGCCAATTACATGCTCCTCTTATACTATTTCCCAACAGAATGGCTCAAATGTACATGACCAAACAGAGTTTGCTTGGCATTGTCCAGATTAAGTATAAACAAAAAAGGCAGGAACAGAAGAGATACTGCCTCTTAGGGGCCTCATGCACATCGACATGGTGAAGTAAAGCAACAGAGAGGAGCATCTCCTTAACCCCTGGTGGTTTGCCAGGAGCTGTTAGACGCCTGGAGGAGAAGAGGATCTATCACTGAGCAGAGCATGTGCTTGAGAAGAAAGACAATTGTATTGACAAAAAGAAACTGTAACACATACCCAGTTAACCTACTTGGTCCAGTTCCAAAGCATTTGAGTGCTTTTTATATAAACGAGACAGAAAGATTTGGGCATTTATTCATTTATTCACCACTTAAATTGATAAGGAAAACAAAGTAATGAATGAAATAAGCAGAGAGAGAAAGAGAGAAAGAGATCAGATGAGACCCCGTAGAGAGACATGCAAGCTGAAGTAGGAAATAGAAGGTGTCAGTTCTCAGGAGTGAGTGTTTGCAGCCTATTTAAACTCATATTTATCAGTGCTTGCTGATTTCACAGGTGATCCCCTTTGTCTAAGTGGTGTGTTTTATTTAATTTGAGTGTAATCACTCATCAAACCACAGCTCTAATGACCCATTTACAGTATGGAGGAGCAGGGATGCTTCCATAATAGCAGTAAGCAATTTAAAGCTCATCAAAGGGTTTGTCTTTGTCTTCAGGTAATCAGGGGCTCATAAACATGGTAATGTTCGAAAATACCAAAACAAACAACGAGCAGCTTCAGCCTGAACAGACAGGGAGGACTACATTTATGATTTATACCATGCTATCCTCTGTCAGTCTACTGTGAGCTTGCAGTGGAGTTTTTCATTTGAACAACAGAGTAATTAATCCATCATTCCTTAAAGGACCTGTCGAGTGACATGTTTTTATGCAAATCCGATTTCAAAAATACTGAGTAGCTGTCTAAATGTTTTGATAAAAACAGAATGCAATGATTTTCAAATCTCATAAACCCATATTTTATTAACAGCAGAAAACACAGAAGCTATATCAAATGTTTAAACTAAGACATTTGACTCATTAGCCTCTTCTGAATTTGATGGCAGCAACACATATCAAATGTTCACCAGGCTGCAAAAACACAGCATCTATAAATTGTAAAAGAATTTCAGAATAAGGCCCATCAACATATTCCATTTAGGGGATCTCATCATCTACAGTACATAGTACCACCAAAAGAATCAGAGAATCGGAAGAAATGTCTGTGCACAGTGGGAAAGGCCAAAAATCAATACCGAATGCCTATGATCTTTGAACCCTAAGGCAGCACTGTACTAAAACAGGTATGATTCTATCCTTGTAATCACCTCATGGGTTCAGGAACATTTCCTGAACTCGCTTTCTGTGAACACAGGGTGAAGCTCCAATGAAGAAAAAAAACATTCTTCTTTTTTGGAAAACATGGGCATTGCATCTGGGCTAAAGAGGAGAAGGAGCATCCAACTTGTTGTTAGCTCTTGCTTAGAAGTCTGCATCTCTGATGGTATGGGGGGTGCATTAGTGCCTATGGAAGTGAGCTTGCACATTGTGAAAAGCACAATCAGTTTTATAATTTACATACAGGGTTTAGAGAACTCACATATCAAAGTGATGCTAAACCACATGGTGTATCTAATTTATTACAACAGTATGCCTTTATAGTAGAAGAGTTGGGGTGATGAACTGGCCTTCCTGTAGTCCAGACCTTTCACTAACTGAACACACAAGGCACATAATGAAAATAACGGTAAGAAAAAGAAGACCCAGAACTGTTGAGCAGCTGTAATCCTATAACAGACAAGAATGGGACAACATTGCTCTCCCAAAAGTCCAGCAGCTGGTCTCCTCAAGCATGGCCCTGTTCCCAGTTTTTTGAGATACGTTGCTGTCATCAAATTCAAAGTAACTTTTTTTTATGTTCTCAGTTTATACATTTGGTACATTTTTTGTTATCTATTGTGAATAAAACATGTATTTATGACATTTGCAAATAATCACCCTCTGTTATTTACATTTACACAGAATCTTAAGTTTTTTGGAACTGGGGTTATAACTCTTAATGCAGTGCAAGATTTAGACATGTATGAAAGATTTAAAGAACCTTGAGCCAAAACAAAAATGCGGTGTCATATTTACATGAAACACATGCGTTAAAAATACCGTTATTTATCGCTTGTGTTTGACTGTTATTAGCATCCACAATCAAAAATGTAAATATAAAGTCAAATGTAGCATCCCTGCAGCTGGCGAGCCTAAAGAAAAAACATGACACTGTGGCAAATTGGCTAGTTGATTTCTTTTCATTTCTGGCATATGTGATGTCTCCCAGTCTAAATAAAGGAAAGCCTCCCTCACACTGTTCATGAAAATGTAGTGCTGCCATCCACATGTAAATAAAAAGCAGTTATCGACAGCTTTTTAAAATTCAAAAGATATTGACGTGACATACATTTTCTACTCCTGTATTCCTGTGTTTAGTTGTTTATTTAAATCATGCAAAAGGGTGTCAACTTTGAAAGTGTTACTAATCACTCGTCTGTTTATTACCTCATCATTGAATCCTGTGCTTTAATACAGTCACTGTATCAAAGAAAGATGTAAAAGTCAATTTTAAATATTATCAAAATTGTCTTTAACTGTTTAGATCACCAGTCAGATCTGATTAATTAAAAAAAAAAATGCAATAGTCACCCCAAAATAAGTAATAATAAAATCATAAATACCCAAAGCTTTTAAATCAAAAGTCTTTGAGTGCTCATTTTTGAGAGCAAACTTTCTGATTTGTAATTACTTGGGCACTGATTTTTAATTACGTTAAAGATATCCTCACTTTAGCTTCACTGACTTTTATGTCTAAAAAAATGTTTCATCAATAAGTCATAAGGTAATTTTTCTTACCTTTTTAATTATGACACAGCAAATCCATGTTTGCATTTCTCTTTATTTCTTCTTCCTTCTTTCCTTTTTTTTTTAAATCTTCCATATGTGCCAGGATACTCAGCTACCACTTAAAAGTTTGCTATAACTCATTCTGGCCTGCTTGGATTCAGACTTTCCAGTAAGTATTTGGATTATTTTGTTTGAGGAGAATTTGCAGATTGCTATCACTTTATAGCATTGTCAGAAATCAGATTGCGCCTCTTTCAATGCTGATTAATTAAGTCTTTATCTGGCGTAAAACTTATCACACCTGAGTTGATATTTCTTCGCAGGTTTGGGCCTTGTGACGGAGAGAAAATCACACAACTCCACAACATATCGTTTTTTGCTCCTTTGTTTGGAGACTTTGTGCACCAATGTGGCTCGGATCCCCATCCGAGGTGTGGTACGCTAATGCTGTGTGACTCAGAGAGTATATACTTGAACGGAAACACTTAAACTTTTCTTCTCTTTGCTCCCTCTCTGTATTACTGGCAAATAACAAGAAAAAAAGCAAAAAACAAACAAACAAAAGAAAAGAAAATAATTTTTTAAAAAAGAAACACAAGATGACAGGAGTCAAAGAGAGCCAGAAACAAAGCAGCAGGAGCGGCAAGTTTTGCGAAAAGGTTTGTCTTTGACATGTTGAAAATAATACCATTAATAATAATAACTGAGCTATGACCAAGGAAAAACTAATAAAAGAACACAAACCTCTCAGTGTCTTAGATGAGAATTCATGTGAACCAACACAAGAGAGCAAGTTAAAACTCATTTGCTGGGGGCTGCGGCAAATACCACCGGAGGGAGGCCGGGTGGGAGGGGGTGGTGTGTGTGTGCGGAAACAAAATAGAGGAGATTACATACATCGTTCCCTTTCTCGCCATCGGTGTGGTTGAGTCTGCCGGCCTTGCCGTTGCGGCTTCGCTGGGTGTGGTCCCCGTTGTGCCAAGTGGTGGGACTCTCGGGGGCCGGGGACTGCGGGGTGTCAGACATCTTTTGACCGTCTGTCTTGTGTTTGGAGTTTAATCTGGAACAGCAGGGCACACCACTTTACTCTAACTTGGGTGCAATCCGGTAGAAACAAGCTAGTACATTCTATTTCTCTGATTATTCTTGTTTATCTCATTTGCTGCTTCACGAATATTGAATTTTGTTTGCTATTCCAATTCACTTTGCATTTTGCTTATTTTTACACACAAAAAGAGGCTTCGCACAAATAACGTTTATATAGAACTCTGCATAATGTTTCCCTACAGTTTAGCTTAGACAGGTAGAGAGTAAAACCTTTTTTCTGACTTGCTGATCTGTTAATGCACATTATGAGTCATGTGATCCCTCAAGAGTGACTCTTAATTTTTCAAGAGCAATTATAAGTAATGCAAAAGGCTGAACTATAATACATAACTACAGAATAAAAAGATAAATGCCCCATGAACTGAATAAACAATGAATGCTTTGTCATCTAACCGAACATGAGGGCAGAGTGAGATATCACAACAGCAGGGCGAGTTTAAGAAATGCAGGCAAGCCCCATTTGTATCCCAATCTATCGCCCTGGGGGTAAAGAGTAAATGATGGGAAGACTTACTGTCACCAGAGCAACTGCTTGACAGTCAGGAGAGGTATTTCAGTGGGACTATACTGTCTGTGTGCGTGTGTACAATGGGGGAGGGTTACCTGGTGGGTGATCTGGAGGCACTCCTGATGGAAGACAAGGAGGGACTTCGAGAGCTGCAGCAGCTGCCTTGACGCTGTGAACTCCTGCTGGGTGTTTCATCAGGGGACCTGACAGAGGACAGCCAATGGACAAACATACCACGCACACACATGTACACACATCCATAAAGCCACGTGTATGCATGCATACATCATGGGGACACACAGGCCACAGCGAGCTCAGTAGTCAATCTCATGATATGTAAAACAGGCAATGCACTGCAAAATACTTTCAATATATATATTCTAATAGAGGGTGCAGGATATATATATATTAGGGGTGCAACGATATTCGTATCGATATTGAACCGTTCGATACAGTGCTTTCGGTTCGGTACGCATATGTATCGAACAATACAATTTTTTTCAAATTTTTTTTTTTCAATTTTTTTTTTTTTTTTTTTTTTTTTGTGTCCCGTTTGGATCTATAGCCATCAGAATTGTTGTCTTGAGGCCAAGAAAGATGCCAAGAGGATTTATTTTAAGTGGATCATCATATTGGTCCATTTGATTGACCTTTATTATAATTATGAATTTATTTTATTTTCAGTTGCAAACGGGACAGACATGACTGTGGGATAGGACAGGGGGAAAGAATGAAAGAAAGAGGGGGAGAGAAAGAAAGAAAACCAAAGGGGAGAAAAAAAAGAACAATACAAAATTTGTAATTTATTTTATCAACTTTCCTTCTGACGATGCTGTCTGTGTTGAACGCTCAGTGAATCTGCATTTGACTACTCCGCCTAGGCTCGAGAGTGCAGCCTAGGCGGAGTAGTCGAACGCAGATTCACTGAGCACTCAACACAGACAGGATGGTCAGAAGGAAGAGCGCAGGGCAAGCTAGCGAGACAGAAGTGGACCTCCCCACCCTCATTCAGATCTGGCGTTTGGAATTATTTTGGTTTTCATGTGACGTATGACCCTGAAGGTAAGCGAGTCATGGACTAAAGTAAAACAGTATGTTGGATGTGCCATGCAATGCTCAATTACATGGGTGGGAGCTAGTGTGTTAGCGCAGTTAGCTCGTTAACGTGTTGGCCGTCTAGCCCCTCTGTATAGGGTAGCTCGTTAACGGAGATTTGCCGTGTTGTGGCGTTAAGGTTATTTCAACGAGATTAACCTGAAAGCACTAGTGGGAACACAACGAATATGACTGCACATTTACACCGACATCATCCTAGTGCAAAGACAAAAACAAGCATGCATGCTACAAACTTTAGCCGAGTCATTTAGACAGCTGTTAGCACAGGATTCTCCTTATGGAGACCTGATATGTTTAATATGCTGCTGAGAATATAGCCCAGAAGAAACGGATAGTATAGCTTTTATTTTGGAAAGAGACATTTCTCTGTAATAAACTCTCTTTTCCAAAGATGAGTGATTCCTCAATCAGATACAGGGCTCGCAATATCGCTAGCCCGACGTCCCGGGGCTATCTCTCCCCTGCCTGTCGGGCTATTGTAGGGAGGAAAAATATATGTCAATGCTTTTGCATTCTTTCAGAAATGTAGCTGGGTAATTATGTCATTGGGTGAGCCACTGTCAATATGTGACATATTGAAATCGTGTTTGAATTTGCGCTTGTTTTTTTGCTTTCACTTTGCAATCGCGTGAACTGTGTATAGAGAGCGACAGCACTGATCTGTGAGTGATGATAATTTGTGCACCAATTCCTCTGACATCGTCTTATTAATTGTTAGCTTACTATGCAAACATGACAAGTGAAATCTCCCGCAGCTTAAACATGTGAGAGGTTGATCGTGCAGAGAATCGCTGAGCTTATGTGAGTGCGGCAGGATATATATTTCACTACGATGACCTGGATGATTGAGAACCTTCACAGACAGATATATATTTTAGTTCTGCTGAGCCAAATAAGACAGGTCAGGGTGAAGAAGTGACAGCCAAAGAAAAGCTTACCACAAAACGGAGAAGTTATGACAAATCAGACTATAAGGCAAAAAGAAAGTGCAGCTTTATGGTTTCATGGACAAAAGAATTTCTGTGGCTGCAATATGACGAGCTAAAAAACAACACGCACAAGGGTTAGGGTTAAATTTAAAAACTGTACTTTTGTGTTAAAATATATATTTATAATTTTAATAAATGACAAATTAAAAAGGCATGAACATTTTTTTTTTGTATCGAAAAAATATCGAACCGTGACACCAAAGTATCGAACCGAACCGAACCGTGAATTTTGTGTATCGTTGCACCCCTAATATATATATATATATATATATATATATATATATATATATATATATATATGTATATATATATATATATATATATATGTGTGTGTGTGTGTGTGTGTGTGTGTATGTATATATATATATATATACATATATATATATACATATATATATGTGTGTGTGTGTGTGTGTGTGTGTGTGTGTGTGTGTGTAGCAAGAGCGAGAGAGCAGGGTACAGCCCAGAAATTGTGCTGAACTCACACGCTTTGCTTAGAAGATGCTCTCAATTCTTTTACACTTGTTCACATTCTGTGTGAGTCTAAGCCTGAGATAATGGCTGTAAAGTGCCAATATAAATTCATGAGTAGGCTCAATGGGACTTCTACCTATTGTTGAGGAGTTAAGACTGTTGTTCACTGTTTGTTTTAATGTGAACTGAGGAAATGTGCATTAAATGTTACTGGTAATGAATGAAACTTGGCTACTCTCTTATAAGACATGCAGACTATCTGCTCTACATTTACATGGATTAAAGAATTGTTATGGGAGATTTTAACAGAGTGAATCTCAAACGGACATTTCACAATCTTCACCAGCACATCAACTGCCCCACCCGGGGCACGAGGACATTAGACCACTGCTACACCCCGTTCAAGAACTGTTACAAGGCTCAGCCCCTGCCGGCATTTGGAAAATCGGACCATTCCGCCATCTTCCTCATGCCTGCTTACAAACAAAGGCTAAAGCAGAAAGCACCAATCAGGAGGGAGGTCGCTCGCTGGACGGACCAATCGGTGGCCGCGCTGCAGGACGCACTGGATGACGCAGACTGGGACATGTTTCGGCGCAGCTCTGATGACATCAACATGTTTACGGAAGCGGTGGTCGGATTTATCGGGAAACTAGCGGACGACACAGCAGAAAGAACTATCATCCGAACGTTTCCCAACCAGAAGCCGTGGGTGGATAAAAACATCCGCGACGCTCTGAGATCACGCACTGCTGCCTACAATGAAGGGCTTGTCTCCGGTAATATGGACCTATACAAGGCTGCGTCCTACAACGTGCGCAGCGCGGTCCGAAAGGCAAAGCGGAGCTACAGGGAAAAACTAGAGTCACAGCTACGACAGTGCGACTCTAGGAGCCTGTGGAAAGGACTGCGGACTATAACGGACTATAAACGACCAGCTTCTTCAATGATGAATGCAGATGCTTCACTGGCTGATGAGCTGAACACGTTTTATGCTCGCTTCGACGCCGCAGCAATTAAAACAACAAACGGCTGCGCGCGCTCGGAGTGCACCAGTGAAGAAAATGCATTCGTCATCACAGAGCATGCCGTGAGGAACACCTTCAGGAGGGTGAACACCAGGAAGGCAGCAGGACCAGATGCAATCCCTGGCCGGGTCCTTAGAGCCTGCGCTGATCAACTAGCACCCACGTGTTCACGGAGATCTTCAACCTCTCCCTGGCCCAAGCTGTGGTTCCCACGTGCTTCAAACAGTCCATTATTGTCCCTGTTCCAAAGAAACAACAGCCCGCTTCCCACAATGACTACCGTCCAGTAGCACTGACTTCAATTGTGATGAAGTGTTTTGAAAGACTGATGAGAGATCACATCACTTCTTCACTTCCTGCCACCATCGACTCACTTCAGTTTGCTTACCGGACTAATCGTTCCACAGACGATGCCATATCTCACCTGCTCCACACATCCCTGAGTCACCTGGACACTGGCAGAGGGAATTATGTTAGGATGCTGTTCGTGGACTACAGTTCAGCATTCAACACAATAATTCCCTATAAGCTTTTCACCAAGTTGACAGATCTAGGACTCAGCTCATCACTGTGTCAGTGGATCCTCAACTTCCTCACAGACAGACCCCAATCAGTGAGGGTGGGAAAACAAGTCTCCCCCTCCATCTCACTCAGCACTGGAGTGCCTCAGGGCTGTGTTTTAAGCCCCCTGCTGTACTCACTGTACACTTATGACTGTGTAGCCACATCCGACACCACCTCCATTGTCAAGTTTGCCGACGACACTGCTGTTGTGGGCCTGATCTCCGACAACATCGAGACGGCCTACCTGGAGGAGATTAAGAACCTGGAGACCTGGTGCCAGGAGAATAACCTCCTCCTAAACATCAGCAAGACTAAGGAGCTGATCGTGGACTTCACTACAAAGCAGGCGAGGAATTACAAACCCCTCATCATCAGTGGCACGCCAGTGGAGAGAGTGGACAGTTTCCGATACCTGGGTGTCCACATCACTCAGGACCTGTCATGGTCCTGTCACATCAACACCCTGGTTAAGAAAGCCCGTCAGCGTCTCTTCTTCCTCAGAAGACTTAGAGACTTCCATCTGCCACTGAAGGTGCTCAAGAACTTCTACTCCTGCACCATCGAGAGCGTCCTGACGGCAAACATCTGCACCTGGTTTGGGAACAGCACCAAGCAGGACAGACGAGATCTGCAAAGGGTGGTGCGCTCGGCAGAACGCATCATTCAATCAGAGCTCCCTGACCTGCTGTCCATCTACACCAAGCGGTGCAAGTCCAAAGCTAGGAAGATTATGATGGACCTCTCCCATCCCAACAATGGACTCTTCTCACTGTTGAGGTCTGGGAAGCGCTTCCGCTCCCTTAAGGCCAAAACAGAGAGAATGAGGAGGAGCTTCTTCCCCCAGGCTATTCGGGGCCTGAACCAGGTGTAGGACTGGACTCTCCCAAACACGTCACTATAAGACTGGACTCTCACACACGTTGTTGTGATATTTTGATACCATGGTAGCATTTACAGGATATTGTTTTATAGTGATATTATACAGGAAAACTGTTACTCAATAAGGCCCATTTACTAGTTGTTTTTCTCTTTCTCTGTGACCCAAGAATCTTTATAATCTCTTCTACTATTTGCACATTCTTTACTGTAAATTCCTAAGTTAATTTGTAAATTTTTGTAGTAAACTGTAAATTGTAAATATTGTAAAACTTTTCTTCTGTCATTTAATGGTCGGGCATTGTACAGCTACAAGCATTTCACCCCCATGTCATACTGTGTATGGTTGTGTGTGTGTGACAAATAAAATTCGAATTTGAAATTTGAAATTTGAATTTGAATTTACAGGCAGCGATTCTCTCACCTCTTTTTCTGTTTGTTCTTGTCTTTATGTTTGTTCTTTGGGCTTCCCGACCTGAAAAAAAAACCCCAACAACAATGAATCTGCATTCACAGAGAGTAGAGAATTCCACGCATCACTTGCCTAAATGGACTATTCTACTGTCATTTGAAAAAGTAGTCAATTGTGTAAAAGACACAAACTGAACGCAAGCACACAGGTTACATACAGGGAGTGCAGAATTATTAGGCAAGTTGTATTTTTGAGGAATAATTTTATTATTGAACAACAACCATGTTCTCAATGAACCCAAAAAACTCATTAATATCAAAGCTGAATGTTTTTGGAAGTAGTTTTTAGTTTGTTTTTAGTTTTAGCTATTTTAGGGGGATACCTGTGTGTGCAGGTGACTATTACTGTGCATAATTATTAGGCAACTTAACAAAAAACAAATATATACCCATTTCAATTATTTATTTTTACCAGTGAAACCAATATAACATCTCCACATTCACAAATATACATGTCTGACATTCAAAAACAAAACAAAAACAAATCAGCGACCAATATAGCCACCTTTCTTTGCAAGGACACTCAAAAGCCTGCCATCCATGGATTCTGTCAGTGTTTTGATCTGTTCACCATCAACATTGCGTGCAGCAGCAACCACAGCCTCCCAGACACTGTTCAGAGAGGTGTACTGTTTTCTCTCCTTGTAAATCTCACGTTTGATGATGGACCACAGGTTCTCAATGGGGTTCAGATCAGGTGAACAAGGTGGCCATGTCATTAGTTTTTCTTCTTTTATACCCTTTCTTGCCAGCCACGCTGTGGAGTACTTGGACGCGTGTGATGGAGCATTGTCCTGCATGAAAATCATGTTTTTTTTGAAGGATGCAGACTTCTTCCTGTACCACTGCTTGAAGAAGGTGTCTTCCAGAAACTGGCAGTAGGACTGGGAGTTGAGCTTGACTCCATCCTCAACCTGAAAAGGCCCCACAAGCTCATCTTTGATGATACCAGCCCAAACCAGTACTCCACCTCCACCTTGCTGGCGTCTGAGTCGGACTGGAGCTCTCTGCCCTTTACCAATCCAGCCACGGGCCCATCCATCTGGCCCATCAAGACTCACTCTCATTTCATCAGTCCATAAAACCTTAGAAAAACCAGTCTTGAGATATTTCTTGGCCCAGTCTTGACGTTTCAGCTTGTGTGTTTTGTTCAGTGGTGGTCGTCTTTCAGCCTTTCTTACCTTGGCCATGTCTCTGAGTATTGCACACCTTGTGCTTTTGGGCACTCCAGTGATGTTGCAGCTCTGAAATATGGCCAAACTGGTGGCAAGTGGCATCTTGGCAGCTGCACGCTTGACTTTTCTCAGTTCATGGGCAGTTATTTTGCGCCTTGGTTTTTCCACACGCTTCTTGCGACCCTGTTGACTATTTTGAATGAAACGCTTGATTGTTCGATGATCACGCTTCAGAAGCTTTGCAATTTTGAGACTGCTGCATCCCTCTGCAAGATATCTCACTATTTTTGACTTTTCTGAGTCTGTCAAGTCCTTCTTTTGACCCATTTTGCCAAAGGAAAGGACTTTGCCTAATAATTATGCACACCTGATATAGGGTGTTGATGTCATCAGACCACACCCTTTCTCATTACAGTGATGCACATCACCTAATATGCTTAATTGGTAGTAGGCTTTCGAGCCTATACAGCTTGGAGTAAGACAACATGCATGAAGAGGATGATGTGGACAAAATACTCATTTGCCTAATAATTCTGCACTCCCTGTATATGGACGTTCACATACTGAAGGACATTATTATCTGCCGTACAAACCTGTGTCTTCTCTTTTTCCTGGAGCCAGATGCAGATCTACAAAAACAAAGCCATTGTAATGTCAGCGCGAGGTCAGCAACTTCACAAAATATTGACATGAATAATTCATATGCAGAACACAGTATCTTTTTTTAAAACACATTTTACATATTTATATATTTTTTACATATACATTTTGTGAGACTGTGTACCACATTTTAATTTTTTGAGAGCAATCCAGGCCTTCTTTTTCTTCTTCCTTCTAATTTTTTAAGGTATTCTTGAGCAATAATTCTCCAGGCTTGCTGAAGGGCTCTCAAAGTTTTTCTTCTTTTTTTGTGTTTATTTGTTAAGCCATTTAACACAAACCTATGAATTATTCAAGTATAAAAAAAAGTGCTGTACAACTAAAAGAATAAAACAATAAAAGCAATAAAACACAATACAAAAGAGAACAATGGAAAATTGAAAAACAAATATCAAGAGGTTTAAATACCGAGGAATAAAAATACATTCTCAAAAGAGTTTAGATGTTCAGTGTTGGTGAGGTGGTGATATGAAGGGGAACACTGTTCCAAAATATAGGTGTAGCTACAGCAAAGGCCCGATATTTTGCTTGTCAGTATAATGGGAAACATCTGGTCAGCTGTTCTTGGTGATATGTTAAAAGATCAGAAGGTAAGGAGGTGCTAACGATTTAATGAATGTTTAAGTTTCCATTTAATGACACTTAAAAGCAAGCAGTCTGTGAAGGTTCTCAGTCATCCAGGTCATCGTAGTCAAAGGAGCTTGCAAAGAAAAGCGTCTGGACTTCTTTAAGTTACTTAAAGATGTTTCACCTCTCATCCGAGAAGCTTCTTCAGTTCTAAGGTCAAATGGTGGGGAGTCCCAGATTTAAACCTAGTGGGAGTATCCCCCCACAGAGGGATAAAAGGACCCCCTGATGATAAAAGCAAGCAATAACATTTTGAAATGTATTTGTGCGCTTGGGGGCAGCGTCTCATGTGAGTCGAGCTGCAGAATTTTGGAAGTTGCAGAACAGACAACAAATACCTGGTTAATGCTCAAATAAAGACTGTTGTTACAATCTAGCCTGGATGACACCTTTACAATGGAAACTGGCTCTAAAAACAGCATTTATTTTTTTTTATCAAATGTGAAGCTGCTCTCAAAAATGACCCAGAGGTTTTTAAAAAGGCTGTTTTTGAAGGACCGACATCAAGTACTACTGCTTGTTTGTTTTTTTTTGCTTAAGGTTGAAGAAGTTTGATGTTATCTATTTATATTAATATTTTTATGTCAGTAAGACACTAAAGTAAAGCATTCAAAAAGACTGCAGTATTTCTTTTTGAGAGGGACATGGATTTGTGAATTATCACCATGCATAATGGTGACATGAAACTCCTTATTTTTGATCTTTTGATATTAATAGGAACATATAGGAACATAACAAGGGAAAAGAGTACTGGACCAAGGATGGTTCCTTGGGGGACGGCTGCATGTGAGAGAATCAGGTGATGAGAACAAGCCACAGAAAAATTTGCCCACGTGGCTCTCCAGCCTAGAGAATATGATGCTATGATCCACTGTATCAAATGTAGCATTTATTGTAGATCTAAAAGTATTAAAATGGCAGAATCCCCTGAAGCTGCAATTAATAAAAGATCATTAAGCACCTTTAAAATTGCTGATCCCGTGCGATAATGTGCATTGAAACCAAACTATTACAGTGACAACATTTGTTTTCAGGGAGGCCTGAAGGTGATGAAAAACAACTTTTCCCAGAGTCTTTACAACAATGTCAGGGTCTAAAAATACCAGAACGACTGATGGAGACAAGGCCATTGATAGCAATGCTACATCCCCGGACACAGCCCCACTTAATGGCTGACATAACTAGCTCGCAGAAAAACGTAGTCGCTAAAATTTCTAAGCTGGAAGCAAAAGTTGAGACCAAGTGCCAAGCTCTCAATGGCCTGATCGATTCGCTTCGCAGCAATGTTTCTGACCAAACAGATGAAGTGCGGACTGAACTTTGTGCTAAGATTGATGCTCCAGCTACTATCTGCACTGACCACCATAGCCGGCTAACTAGCCTGAAAGAAGCTGCAGTATTCGGATCGGGTTGTGGACTTGGAGAAGCAAGTTCATGATCTGAAAGAAATTGTATCAGCTCTTTCAGACAAGACCGAAGACCTTGAAGGGAGACAGTGCAGATGTAACATTCGAATACTGTACTTGGCGTGAGGGAGCGCTTTGAGATTCGGACGCGCCCATGTCAATTCTGTGGCCCAGCTACTAATGGAGGTGTTGGGCCTGAATACCGCTCCGACACTGGATTGGGTACATCGCAGCCTACAGACCATCCCTGCAAGAGACCAGAGACCCAGGCCACTTATTGTCAAATTTCACTACTTTCAAAAAAATGAGGTGCTGCTTTGCAGGCCCGCGTTAAACAGTCCCCAGTCCCATAATGGAAACAAAATCCTTTTTGTCTCCATTATTGTCTCCATTCCCAGACCTGCCATCTGCAGTCGCAAAGAGAAGGGGGCCTTTAAAGAAGCTAAAGATCTACTGCACAGATGTCAGGGTGTGAGATTCGGGATGCTGTACCCAGCGAAGCTGAGGATTTCTTCTCCTCTTGGAGAGGAAATATTCACCAATCTAACGGCTGCTAAAGACTACGTCAAGAATTGCATCTTAGCTGTGTGTGGGAATCAAGACACGGGCTGAGTAGACTGTGCTACCTCAATTGCTCTCTGACTCTCTATTGTTCACTGACTCTGACTGCACTTTAGATAGAGGTTTGTACTTTGGCGTCTTTCATAATTTAATAGGTCTTCATATACTTGTTTATCACTGAGCAAAGTAAACAACCAAGAGAAGTCACGTGTGCCTTTCCAATCTGCCAGATGTCTAAAAATTATGTTAATAGTTGGCGTTCCCTGTTAGGGGCAACATCTGTTTTAGGGAGTGAAGAGACATGTTGGATATAAGCTCTTTTGGGGGGGAAGGTGTAGCTTGTTCCTGGTTTGTGGGCAACCCGTTCTCACTCCCAAAGCGTAACATTTTACGCTAGGTGACAAATCGTCACCATATTAAGTTTTCGGCTACCCACCACGTTCCTAAATGACGACCTCGGAAAAAAGAGGAAATATGAGAACCGTCTGGACTGAATCTACACATGTTCGCTCTTTTTCTTCAAATCGCTTAGAAACACGCTATTTAACATCATTAAAGTCCTGGTTAAGGTCAGGAATAAGGTTATGGTCAGGGCTAGGGATAAGGTTAGGTTTAGGGCTGGAATACAGGGCTGGAACGTCTATTACCGCGGGAGCGTCATTGCACTGGATCCCAGCCATAACCCGCCGCGTACCATAAGAACGCCGAAGGTCTCCTTTCACGTTCCTCAGGAACGCCGCGGGACGTGACAAAACGTCGACATGTTACGCCTCGGGAGTGAGAACGCTCTGTTGTGGGAGTTAGGTTTACAGGGAGTGCAGAATTATTAGGCAAGTTGTATTTTTGAGGAATAATTTTATTATTGAACAACAACCATGTTCTCAATGAACCCAAAAAACTCATTAATATCAAAGCTGAATGTTTTTGGAAGTAGTTTTTAGTTTGTTTTTAGTTTTAGCTATTTTAGGGGGATATCTGTGTGTGCAGGTGACTATTACTGTGCATAATTATTAGGCAACTTAACAAAAAACAAATATATACCCATTTCAATTATTTATTTTTACCAGTGAAACCAATATAACATCTCCACATTCACAAATATACGTTTCTGACATTCAAAAACAAAACAAAAACAAATCAGCGACCAATATAGCCACCTTTCTTTGCAAGGACACTCAAAAGCCTGCCATCCATGGATTCTGTCAGTGTTTTGATCTGTTCACCATCAACATTGCGTGCAGCAGCAACCACAGCCTCCCAGACACTGTTCAGAGAGGTGTACTGTTTTCTCTCCTTGTAAATCTCACGTTTGATGATGGACCACAGGTTCTCAATGGGGTTCAGATCAGGTGAACAAGGTGGCCATGTCATTAGTTTTTCTTCTTTTATACCCTTTCTTGCCAGCCACGCTGTGGAGTACTTGGACGCGTGTGATGGAGCATTGTCCTGCATGAAAATCATGTTTTTCTTGAAGGATGCAGACTTCTTCCTGTACCACTGCTTGAAGAAGGTGTCTTCCAGAAACTGGCAGTAGGACTGGGAGTTGAGCTTGACTCCATCCTCAACCTGAAAAGGCCCCACAAGCTCATCTTTGATGATACCAGCCCAAACCAGTACTCCACCTCCACCTTGCTGGCGTCTGAGTCGGACTGGAGCTCTCTGCCCTTTACCAATCCAGCCACGGGCCCATCCATCTGGCCCATCAAGACTCACTCTCATTTCATCAGTCCATAAAACCTTAGAAAAACCAGTCTTGAGATATTTCTTGGCCCAGTCTTGACGTTTCAGCTTGTGTGTTTTGTTCAGTGGTGGTCGTCTTTCAGCCTTTCTTACCTTGGCCATGTCTCTGAGTATTGCACACCTTGTGCTTTTGGGCACTCCAGTGATGTTGCAGCTCTGAAATATGGCCAAACTGGTGGCAAGTGGCATCTTGGCAGCTGCACGCTTGACTTTTCTCAGTTCATGGGCAGTTATTTTGCGCCTTGGTTTTTCCACACGCTTCTTGCGACCCTGTTGACTATTTTGAATGAAACGCTTGATTGTTCGATGATCACACTTCAGAAGCTTCAGAAGCAATTTTGAGACTGCTGCATCCCTCTGCAAGATATCTCACTATTTCTAACTTTTTTAAACCGTCAAGTCCTTCTTTTGACCCATTTTGCCAAAGGAAAGGACATTGCTTAATAATTATGCACACCTGATATAGGGTGTTGATGTCATTAGACCACACCCCTTCTCATTACAGAGATGCACATCACCTAATATGCTTAATTGGTAGTAGGCTTTCGAGCCTATACAGCTTGGAGTAAGACAACATGCATGAAGAGGATGATGTGGACAAAATACTCATTTGCCTAATAATTCTGCACTCCCTG